GGTGTACATTGGCGGCAAGGGTCTGCCGGACAACGTGGTGCTCAAGACCACGGAGGAGCTGCCCGATGCGGGCCTGGCCAACATCACAGCCACATACATCAACCTGCTGGGCCTGCAGGTGGGATGACGACGCGCGATCTGGCGTGATCTGGCGTGATCTGGATTTGTTATCTGACTGGCACTGAGTGTCATGTCGCGTCGTCGCTGCGAGGGGCTTGCAGGCTCTGCTGGGTGGGGCTGTCTGCGGGGCGGCCGCCGGCGCGGCCCCTGGCGGGAGGCGAGAGGTTGCGGCGGCGCGGGGTGCCCGGGCCTTGGCTGCAGGCTGCAGGCACTGGCCGGGCTGGGTGGTTTCCTCGCGCGACCGCGGCCCATGTCGCCCCCCACTGCCCAGGCCCCCGATAACTACAAGCCCAGCCTCATCCACACAAAGTGAGCGGCGGTCCAAGCGCCGACATGGGCCGGAGGTGCCGCCGCATGCAATAACGCCGCAGTTTCTTGAAGCGCGGGACTCCATGACATGAGGCCCTGACGGCCGCAGCACAGAGCCCCTTGGGCTTGCGCCGCATCCCGACTCGCGGCGAGAGCCGGGGAGTGGAAGGGAAAGCAGCTTGCGGGCCGCCCCGCAGCCCTGCTGGCTATGGCACTATTGGTGCCGGTAGCTGGCGGGTCGAGCCATGCTTTGAGTCGGCCGGACGGCCTTTCGACATTGGGCGTCTCAGCGCTGGGCGGGTGCAGCAGGTCATGGGCAACGCAGGGGATCCTTTATATTGGCGGAGCGCTCCATGCAGTCATTTGTCTCGTCCCACGTTGCAAATGTAACTGAGCAGTGCATTGAAACTGCTGCTGCGCTGTTGCGTCGGCATCTGCCCTGCCTGCGGGGGAGCTGTGCTCTGCAGCCTTTCGCGGTGAACGCGCTGGGACAATTGCAAGAGCTGGGGGCCATTCCTCTCAAGGAGCCGCCTGCCGAAGCCAGCGAGGCAGGGCCGTCCCACCCAAGCAAGGTGTCGTCTGCGCACGGTCAGCATCCTCGGCGCCAGGTCAGCATAGGGTGATCTGGACAGGTTACAAACACACAAGGGTTGCACAAGCAAGAAGCCAGGGACGCTGGTGGTGAAATCTACACAGGGGGCTGAAATGATTCCTGATTTACAAACCTGAAATGTCCTGTACATGTACAAAATTGGTGCGAGCATGTACACTGGGGTTTGCGTCTTGTGGCTTTGCAACGGGTTGGTTGGCAGGGGGCTGTGGATTGCAGGGTGGGAGAGGCCCGAGGACGGCACGCTCTGATGCCGAACGACGTGAGGGGCAAGGGGGGCGCTGGGCAGCAGGGCGGATGCAAAGGCGGAGGGCCCCCGAAAAAACATTAAGTCGGCCTGAATCGGCTGGCAGCTCCTTTAGCCGGTGGGGTGTCAGCTGGAGCGGGGGCTGTTGGCAGTGCGAGCGGAGTGCAGTGACAAACATGCAGCGGGACCGTGTGGTGGGGCCTGGGCGGGTGGGCGGCCGTGTCGCGTGCGTTTCCGTATGTGCGCGTTCCTTATCATCAAAGGCTGTCCCAGTGGGTGGGCTTGGCGGAGAGTGTTTGTGCAGACTGTACAGGAAGGCTGACAGGTTCTAGCAGAGCTCGGCACATCGCTAACCAAGCGCAGGCCGCGCCGCCTCCATCGGCGCTGGGTCCCGACGACTGCCAGGGCTCCCACCCCAGCGCGCCGCCCGCGTGCATTGACTGCGCAATGCAGAGCGGTCTCGACCAGCAGCCGCCACGTTGAGCGCGAGAGGCGAGCTCGGGCGCTCAGGCGAAAGCTGAGGAGCTGCGCCGCGCGCCGGCGCTCTGCAGCAGCGGCTCCGCGAGGGACGCCTCGGTGGAGCACGGGCTCGGCGCGCCGCCGACGCCGCCGCGGCGGCTGAGCGCGGAGAGCTTTGACAGGCGGCGGCGCTTGGCGGCGGAGAGCAGGCGCCAGACGCGAAGGTGGAGGCACACTAAGGCGATGTCTGGGTTTGAAATGGGGTTGGTGCGGTCGTGTGTGGGGGTGAGGCTGCGGGTGGGGGTGGGGGTGGGTTGTGGCATCACAGTGGCAGCGTTGAAAATGTCAAGTTGGGGAGGATGAAAGGAAAGGCGCTGCGGCTGAGGTGAGGAGGCGGGCGCACACGCATCGAGGAAAGGAGGAGGGCGGGTCGCCGGCGGGACTTGCGTGCGCGATCAAAGGGTGTGGCATGGCCGATGGAGCGCAGCCTGCCCAGCGCGCACCTGTTGGGCCGAAGGTCTCCCCAGAGGCGAGGGAGCAGAGACTCAAAACGTCCGCGCCCGCCGCCAGCAGCGCGCGGCATGCGGGCAGGTGGCCCCCCTGTGCGGCCTGGGAGGTGGTGAGAGGCCGATGCGCCGTTGGTGGGGCGAGGTGGTCGCCCACCATGGTCAGCAGGGGGAGAATGCTACAGGGTGGGAGGGGTTGGAGACCAAGGCCGCAAAGCGCGCTCGCCACATGCACACCAATTGCATGTTTGTCGGGTTAGCCGGCAGCATTCAGGGCACAGCTGCACTTGTGGGGCGGAAATCCTTTTGCGGCTATGGGTCGCGACGCCCGATGGCTGGGCGCGTCACCCGTGGACGCCCTGGTGACTGACCAGGTACAGCGGCGTCACCCCGGTGACGTCCTGGCCGCTCTGGTTGGCCAGCCGCACAGCCTCATTCACGTCATCGCCCTGGCGCAGGCGCTCCACCAAGGCAGGCACGTCGCCTGCGCGCGTGGGTGGGGGAGCACGACAGCCGCTGAGCCGGGGCGAAGCGCAACGCGTAACAGCGGTTGGGTTGGCGCGCAAATTGTGCTTTCAAAGCACACACATTGGCAGCCGGGGCTGCGTGGAGGCAGGTGCGCGCAAACTTTGGTGTCATGCGACACATTGCAAATGGCACCGTGCGCAGACAATTGCGGCAGCGCGCTCTGCGCCAAGCCCTAGCCTGCGTTGACGAAGCTGGGCCAACCGACTGGACAATCGATGGTGGAGGTCGAAAAGTGCGGCCTCCGGATCCCCAGATGCTCGTGTCGAGCTTACCTATGTAGGCCGCGTGAGAAAGTGGGGGAAGGCAGCCCTTCCACGCCGCAGCAAAGGCGGACGAGTGCATTTGTCCGTGACGTGGGTTACACAGTTGCGTTTCAGGCCTGGAAAGTGTACAGTATATACGCGATAATTGTGCAGATCTTGATGTTTACGGTCTTAGCCTCGGGCTAGAACGTTGGTGTGGAGAATCACCTGCAGCTGATGAGGCTCAGTATTGCAACATCACCACGCGGAAACGACGCAATTGAGCTGAAGATTTCAAATCAAGCTAAAAGTCACCGCCAGTGGGTCTCAGCTGGGGCGCAGAGATGTCGCAACGCCTCGAGCCGCCTCAGCTGCCACTCAGGCGCTGAGCGTGCGAGCTTGCTCGCGCTTGCCAGCTCCCGTCTGAAGCACCCTCGGCTTTGTGCCAATGTTGGTTGTGGATATGCGCACGAGCACAGGGCAGACCCACGCGACAAGGCACGCCTATTGGATGGGGAGCTAGCCCAAAAACGCACTCTAGTGGAGCAATAGCTGCAAGCTTTGGGCTCCGCTTGCCCATGGGTTGGCAGCAAGCCACCATCATCTAGATTACAATTGTTATGATGTACCGCTCACTCGCTGCCACCTTCAGGCAGACATATTGTGCTGCAGGCTCTGTGGTCGGCCACCCAATCACAGGCACGTTGTTGTGCTGTGTGCTGTGCATCTGTGCTAGTGAGATAGTCAAGTGTGTGTGTACGTGTGTGCGCGCATGGTGTGTGTGTGTGTGTATGTGCAAAGTGGGCGCGTGGGGATTTATGTCCTGTCATTGATATTATGCTGGGTGGGAGGTCAGCGATCAACGTGCAATTGCGCCGCCCCCGGTGCTTGCCCAGACAATGAGGGCGCCCAGATGCACAAACAGGATCAGCACGTGAGCCACACGACCGTGGCTGATATGAACGCATGTGCATCAACAAAAAAAGTCACGGCGAGCTAACGTGTGTAGAGGGCCGCTCAGGGCGAAGCCCCAGACTTCCTGTGAATGTATGTGGCAGCGCCAAGTGAAGCCTGCAGGCCAGCCCATCGCGCGGCGGCGGGGCCGCAGGCGCCGCGCGCCCCTGCGTGACACTGCTGCGCCCTGACAGGTCAGCGCCACATGAAAAGACCAAAGCATCAGGCGTCAAGGTGCCGAGAATGCTGGTGGCGCAGCGGGCGTGGGTGTGCGCGTGCCCGATTTTCGCCGCCGTGGGGCAGGCGCTGGGGGTGCACGTGGCTCGAGAGCTACGCAATGGCGAGAGGCGGCGCGAAATCCACGCCCCGTGCCTCGCCTCAGCACGAGCCAGACCCGGGTGTGTGGCAGCGCATGACTAAGGCTGCGAATCCGCAGGCCCCAGAACAGCCTGCCCGGGCTCGCGTCGCGGCAGTGCTCTATCGAGCTGGATCCCAAACAAAGGGTACAATTGATTGTTTGCAGTGCTGGGCCTGGGACGGGCGGTGCCAACCCACCTCACAAGCCCCTCAGGTGGGAACAGGCCTGCGGCGGCCCCACCCGGCGCGTGACGCGCATCGTGGAGCTGCCCGGGCTTTGCCACGCCACGCTCAAGTTAAGACATTCCCGGCCGGCACACCAAGCCACAAGCTTGAACCGTGCTTGAGATGATTAAGGGTTTGCGCCGTGCATCCCGCAGCACAAAGCCACGGTACGCGGTTCGAGGGCAGTCGCATTGAGATCACAACCTCGGATCAGATCGCCATCTGGGCGCCCGAGGTAAGCACCAGGTATGTACTGGGCGTCGAGCCGGCTGGCACGAGCTTCTCACCCATCACGTCCGCGCCCTTGCCGCCCTTTTTGTGCTTGCTGGCCCACTTCTTGAACAGGCCGGGGGTCTTGCCGGCCAGGCGCTGCTTGGCCTCCTTCAGGAGCCACCAAGTGCGCATGTTGAAGTGCATGATAGCGATGTCTGCGATGGTATATTTGGATGGGATAGGGATGTTGATGTTTCTGCACGGCTTGCTTTGGATTGTGAGGCGCAGGGTTGACATGGGGCGAGGACTGGGGGAGGCGTCCGGAGGGGTCCGCAGTGGGCGTGCCGCAGGGTTGTGCTGCTGACTGCGGGACTGGCGCGACGGCCTGGGGACACAAAGGGGTGCGGCGCGTGCCGGGCGGCGCCAGGGCTCACCCTGAGCGATGAACTGCTGGCCGGTGGCGGGCACTGTGCAGGGGCGCATGACGTCGGCGCCCGCGCGCAGCAGCGCCTTGCACACGTCGTAGTGACCCATCTGGGCCGCCTGCGGTGGCAGCAGGTGGGCGGGCGCGCGTGCGCGTGCTTTTCAACGTGTGCACTTTGACCTTTGACCCCCCGGAGCTGAACGATTTGAGCGCCGTCGCAGCGCCGGAGGCAGATGGCGCCCGCGCGCCATGGCCCCATCAAGGGCAGTGCGGGGATGCGCACGCGCGAGCAATGATGTCCACAAAGCAAATCCACCAAAACCAATGCCTGAGCTCACCAGGTATAGGGGCGTGGCCCCGAGCACATCTTGCCCGTTCTGTCGGAGACAAAATGCAGGGCGGCGTTGGAGCCAGGGCGTCAGGTTGTGCCGCGACGCAGGGCACGCCTGCTGCGGATCAGGCGCGGCATCCGCTGGGGGCGGCACGCCAAGGCGCGCGTGCGGCCCTCGTGCGGGTCGCGTCGCACCACATGGATGTCGCGCAGGCGGCCAGCCTGCGCACCTGATTGACCAGCCGCACGTTCTGATGAATGTCATCCCCCATCCCCAGGGCATCCAGGACGCCCTCCAAGTCGCCTGCGGAACAATGCAGGGCAAGCGCGATGCCCGTGGCTGCATGTCGGTGCGCTCAAGTCGGTGCGCACCCAGCATCCATTGAGCTGGCCAGCGGGCGGCAGCAGGCTTTGCAAAGCGAGCGCATGGGTGCGTGCGCTCCCGCTGTATGGTGTCTCACCGACGAACGCAGCATACGAAAGGCGCGGCAGGACCTGCCGCATGGCCTCATCGGCCTCATGCCCAGACCCCATGCCAGGCCGACCACTGCGGCCCCGGGCTGCGTGGAGGGCTGCCGCAGGCTTCGATGCGCGTCTGCTCGACTCCAAGGCTGGAACAAGGCGTGCCCAAGGCAGCTGCGTTTGTTCTCAAGCTCAGCCCTCAATGTAAAAGGATCACCGGGCTGCACTGAGGCGAATATTTGCACTGATGATCAATCTGAGCTCGCCGCGGCTGACACCGAGCCCGGGATGCGCAGTAAAAATTCCAATAGTAGGCAATAATGCTTCGTACAGACGTGCACTGGGCCAAGGTAACTCGGCGTCTGCGCGCCCCCTTGGCTACCAGTGCAGCTCACCCGTGCGCTGCCGGTGTCGCCGCTCATTTACTGCGCTGAATTGCAGTTACCTACAGGACCCAACATTTTCCATCTCGTTGGCAGTCCTGGCCTACATTGGGGCTGGGGCAAAGGCCTCCGACCACCTGCCCTGCCTCACCCTGACTGAGACCCATGTGGGTTGCCCTGTGCCCCCCATGTGCCACGGCCTCCACTTGCGCGTCTGGGTGCAACCGGGCTGCGGCGCAGCGCAAATCGCCTCACTTGTGTGCCGCTTGTACTGCTCTGTCGTTTGCCAGCAATGAGGTAGTGGCTGCCCCGCACACACCCACCTGATGCTGAGCGCAATGCACGCTTGCAATCGGAGGCCCAATGTGCGCAAGGACCAGTGCATCAGACACCTTCTGTTTTCCACCTCAACGCAAAATTCCGTATTGGCATATTGACTGTTGCCTTACAAACCTGCTATGCAAGAATTGCGCAGCCGACGCTCATCAAATCAGTCGGCGTTTGCCAAGGAGAAACTTGGCAATGCATCGCTCTGTTAACGCAACAGTTGGTATCGATGGCTCGCGTGCCAACGTTGCATACGCTATGCTGCTAGGCGACCGCGGAGTCTGTATGCCACATTTTGACCAGCAGGGAGGCATGATGGCAATGCCGACAGTGCACGCACTGCACCAGTTGCACGAAGCACTGCTGCGTGTGTCCACCCAAGCGTCACGCATCGTCACGACTACACGGCTCGCGATTTTCCTGTAATGCAGATTGCCGCCAACATACCTTGCACCTTATCAGCTATCCAAAAACGCGATTGATGTCTAAGACACAGCAGGCGTTCTGCTCAAGTACGTGTGCAACGTACGCACGCGACGCTCTTCGCACAGTGCACTGCGGTACTTGCCGTCTGTCTCATCAAAATCAGTGCCCGACAACAGTCGTGCGCCGCGTCGTGGCGACTGGGCCCACGAAGGGGTTGAGCGGGGTCGCGCGCACAGTAGTGCGAGTTTGGGTCACCACTGGGCCAACAAACCTGCAGGGGCGCACCAGGTGGATCAGGGATGGTGCATGGATGGGGGCAGGGGCACTGGCTGAAGAATCTTGTTTGACACAGGAAACCATGCATGCGAAGATACTGTTGATTCAGGCCCGTTGCACTGGTTTCACAAGCCCTCCCTGCGGCACCGCCCCCCCGGCTGAATTCTCGAGATGCCTGCACCCAGCCGGGGAGCTCTTTCTCACGGGTTGAGTGGCGTTGGGGTGACACGGGTGGTCGTGACGACGGGCCCAGTGAAGGGCCGGAGCGGCGTCGGACGAACCGTTGTAATGATGGCTGATCCTAGACGGGCTGTTTCGGAGATTGCAGATGCAGTGGTGATGGGGGCACTGCCTGAGTCCAGGGAACATGTGAGGTTGTTGCTGGCACACTCCACACATGGGGGCCAGCACTCGCGGTCCTCTGCCGGCACGCCCGCCCTGGCGAGCGATGCTAGACAGGGCTCACACACAGCTTGTGTGTGTTCACTGTCCGTGCCATCATGCAAACGCTGCAACTGTGCGTGCAGCCCTCTGCACAGCAAGTTGCTGTGACAGCAAACGTGGAACTGCCGCATGTCGCGTCCTGTCAGCGGCACGCAAACATGACCTTCTGCAGGGCAGTGCTCAGCCTCTGGAAGGCTTCGTTCTTACCCTCAGATGTGGTGGCCAGCAGCAGGACGCCCAGGCACAGGACGACAATCGCGGAGGTACGCGCCATCTTGCAAAGCACTCCCGGCCTTTCACTATTGCGGCAAAAACGAGCGGGTGAGTCCAAATCAGAGCTTCTGATGGATGCTTTGGACATGCAATGGGCCCCTGTTATCGAAAGCACTCGCCAACGGTCCCGGACACGGACGGCAACGACCGACAGGATGAATCAAGTGCGGCTGCCAGCGTCAATGAAGATGTTTTGAAAATTGCCGGTCCAAAGCTCACGGTGCGTGCAAGTGGATCAGACTCAATAGGCGTAAGCATGCCACCCTGTGTGTCGCCGCTGTCACCTCCTGGCCGGCCGTTCAGCAGAAAAGACACCTGTACGCTCCTCTCACGCCACCGCCCTAGTACAGCACTCAAGATTCACAGAAGGCAGTTGAAAACCGTCTCTCGTGATGTTGGTTGCACGAAGCAGCCAGTGTCATTAGCTAAAGCCCAGGGGCTGGCTGCCACCCTTCTTCGGAAATGTCAAATCCTGACACAGCTGCTGCAGTGTTCGACAAGGCGGCGTTTATAGCGTTCTTTTACTCAATTACTGTACACCCGGGCCAGTGTCACCCAGGCAGGAGTTGACCGCAGCATTGTCCCACCCCTGCACACGTCATTCGCAACGGCCACGCATCACAAACTGGCACTGCCTTGAGCGCACACCAGGCAACAGCCCTGGCTGCGATGTGCCTAGTTGGCTGATGGGCCGGGCCGCATCCTGCAATAGTAAGCAGCCCAGGTCATGAGAAGTGGTCTGGTCTCAATTGAGTTCGATTCAGGCTCAAGAAAACGCACGCAGCTGAACGCCCAACCCTCCGAGTCCAAGCCCGTCCCTGCACACGCATCGCAGGCCGACTCAAACACGCGCTCATCTCTGCAGGCTGGCTCGACAGCACGTAAGACTGGTTACAATCACCCGTCACCCAGCAGCCGCCCCACTGCCGCGTCAGTCTCTGCCTCCAGCTCAGCTAGCAGCTGCCCCGCACCTACCACCTGCCGCCGCAGCCGGCGGTGGCCCTGGCCGCACAGCGCTATGCCGACGCTGCTCAGCCCCTTCTGCCGCGCCTCAGCCAGGAAGGCACGCGTGTTGGCCTGCACAGAGATTTTCAAGGTGGGTTGCGAGGTTGCTGGGCATGATGCGTGGCGTGCAGGTGGGTGTCTGCAGGATGCAATGAGGAACGCTGTGCGGCGCCATTGCATGCAGTGGTCGAGGCATAGATAAGGGGAGGTACCGCTCGCGACAGGAGCCGAAGCGAGAACCGTGGCCAGAAGCAAACGGCCGATCAGCCCCCGCCAGCGCAGCGTTACTATGAACACGGTCAGCGCTGGCTCACCAGCTCAAACAGGTTTGGCAGCGTCCCCTCGACTTCCGCCAGCTCGTGCGTCAGGTCGTTGGCCAGCCCCCGCGCGCCTTTCCCGGTGAAAGCGCGCGTCACGACGGTATTATCGACGCTGTCGTCACTGCCGTCCGCCGTTGGCGCCTGGCCCAGCATCGCCTCCCGCTGCCATGCGGCCACGTCGGCCTCCGCTGCTGCAAGGAACGCGGTTCCCAGCCACGCGCCCGCGGCGCCGCCCGCGAGGACGGCGGCGACGCCCGCGCCGTCCATGATGCCGCCGGCGGCGATGACGGGCACTGACACGGCGGCGCGGACGGCGGCCAGCAGGGGCAGCGTGCCGATCAGGCCGCTGCGCGGGTCCTCTGGATTTGAGGCAGGAATTAAGGCAGGGAGGGGAGGACGGTTGGGCGACAGGGAGGTGATGGCGGCATGACATCACCTTCCAGGGAGGTGATGGCGGCATGACATCACCTACCAGTAGCAGGTACAGATTGATGCTTGCGATGAGCACCAGGCGCATGTCACAGCGCAGGAGTCTAGCACTAGTCCGAAGAATGCGATGTTGGGCGTTGGGAGCGAAGGTTTTGGGGCGTGTGGCCACCCACCGCCGTAAAAGGTGCCGCGGTGCCCGCCGGCCTCTGCGCCCTGCACCACCACGAAATCGACTCCCGCGGCCTCCGCGGCGCGCGCCTCCTTCACGGTCGTCGCGCAAGCCACGGTCAGCAGGCCGGCGCCGCGGATGAGGTCCAGGGTGGCGGGGCGGGGCAGGCCAAAGTGGAAGCTGATGAGCGGCACGCGCTGCTCCACCATCACCTGCGCGGTGGGTGGAGGGACTTAGGGGCTTAGTCTTGGGGGCTTTCCAGGGGCTCAGAGTGCAGGGGTGCAGGCAGGGGGATGGCGTCTCAGGGCACTGGTTCCCGAGCCTGGATGGTGCTGTCACCTATCATATAGACTTGCCGCACGCAGGGTTTGCCGAGTGTGACCAGCTGCCCCTGATGACCTGCCTGCAGCTGCAAACAGCCAGTTCCTCCACGGGTTGCCTCACACCATTCTGCGCTCTCGTCCGACCCGCACTGCTGATGCGCTCCGCCTCAACCCCACAAAGTGCTGCCGGCGGCCATGACGGCATGCCACATTCAAAGGTGCGCCCAAGCGCAGCGCCAGAGTGCGTGCGCACCTCGACATGCCGCTCAAACGACGACCACTGGCCATGAAAGTCGGGCAAGGAAGGCGCGGCCGCCACCTTTGTAGCCATGCCGAGCGCCGCCGCGCGGCGCTGGTACGCGGCCACCCACAGTGCCACCGCCTCTGACTCATCGGGCGACAGCGGCTGGGGGTGGTAGTGCTCGGGCGGCGGCACGAAGATGTTGACGCCAAAGGGGGTGTCTGCGGGGGCCAGGCAATGTGGAACGCAACGTGATGGTGGTGCTGCTGGCAACGGCACGCACAAGACGAAAAATGAGTATCAAGCAGGCCAATGGCATGGCCGAGGAACCTCATGAGCGAGCTGCTCTGGAGTGCTGCAAGAGGGTGCGGAGGGCCGCGGCAGCCGCCCTCCCACCGCCCAACCCTGCGGGCACGAGGCGCGCGCAGTCGGCGAGGCAGGGGGTCCCTATTGCAAGCAGCCGCCGAGGCCGTGCGACCCGCTGGGTCGTCAATGCACGGGCGCCCACCAGGAGCTGCCAGCTTTTCGCGGATGGATGAGATCACGGCGGGCAGCTTCGACGCGTCTGGCAGGCCGGAGCCCACTGCGTACATCCCCAGGCCGCCGGCGTTGCTTACGGCGGCCACCAGCTGCGGCGTGGTTGAGCCGGACATTGGGGCCTGACGGGGTGACAGGACGGGCGCGTGTGCGTAAGTGGGGGTGGGGGTAGGGG